CCACTACAAGCTAAAGTCAAGAACTTGAGTTGCCAGAAGCAAAGGGTAGGAGGTCACCATTTCCAAAACCAGCTTGCTCAGCAATCCTCCAGAAACCAGACTGGAAGTGGGGAGAGGAGCCATTGGGAAGAGCTGAGTTGTCAGTTCCCAGCCTCTCTCTTGGTGTCTGCACCTGGAGAACCTGGGATCTAGCTGACAAGGTGGCCCTGGGGCCTCAGTGTGGAAAGGTTCAGACAGGAAGACATGGTGTTCCAGCTTCTGCCAGTCCTTCAGTCACTGCTTAGATCCGGGGTAGTGCTCCTTAACAGGGTTGAATGGGGACAGGGTTATTGTGCCAGGGCGGCAGGGAAGGGCTAAGGCAAGCAGCCCTGATGCCCTATGGTTTAAGAGCCTGACCCAGACACCTGGAGAGCCCTATGGACCCCTACTTGGCAGACCCAGGGGTTGAGTAGATGTGACAAAAAGGCCTAGGGCTCATGCCTGCCCAGCTTATTCCCTCTTACTCCCTGCTGCCTGAAGCCCTGTCCTCCCTCACCTTCTGGCTCACTTGTTCTCCCACCTTCTCTGGTGGCTGCTCCTTGGGGGCCTAGGGCTCCACTCCTTCCTCCTCTGCCAGCTGTTATATGATGATGCCCACTCCCCAACACTGTCCCTTCGGAGGCTCTGATGACCCCTTGGGCTGATGGCTGGTGAGTCTCTGTCCTGAACCCAGCTGGGACAGCTCCCCTTGTATGTCTGTAGAGGCCTCAAATGCAACCTACCTTAAGGGAAGTGGCCACATGTGGTGGATGGATTGACCAAAGGGCCCTGAGCTCCCTCCCCATGCTGTCCTTTACAGTGTGGCTCTGCAGCTTCTTTTATCCAGAAGTGGTATGCATTCCCCACCCTGTGAATCTGGGCTGGACATGGGACTTGCTTTGCCAGCAGAATTCAGCAAAAGGGACTGTGTGGTCCCAAGCTGAGGCTTGCTGGAGGATGAGACCACATAGAGAAGAGAGATCATCCTGCCTCAGCTGACCCAACAGCTCACCATGGCTGACTGAATGAGTTCATCAGAGAGTCTGCCAGGTGACCTGTGCCCTCATGAGAAATAACGAAGGGTTGGTATTTAAGCAATGAAGTTGGGCCTAGGAGGGTCAGTAGCTTGGCAACAGTAGCTAATATACTATCAGCGTCTTGCCTCGGGCCTGCCCTCACTTGGGGAAGATGGACATCAGGCTGGACACCGCCTCTCCCTCATCCCTCATCCCAAGGCCTGTGCATTCTGTGCTAATGAAGTCTCTGGGACACAGGCTCTACTTGCACCCGGCAAACCTCCTCTTTTGCCTGGATGACTGCAGTGTCCATCAGCTCTTTCTTAAACACAGCTCTGATCATATAGTGCTTCATCTTCCCAGCCTCCAGGCCCCCTTCCTGTAGCAATCCCTAGAATCTATAGAGGTTCCTCCTATATTAGACTCCTTTGAAGACTTCATTTGAAACAAAAGTTTTGTTAGTCCTAGGCTGGTATATACATCCCACCATTAACCAGCTGCTGCCCACCTCCATTGACCTTTCTAGATCTGGCTCAAATTTTGCCTCCTTCTGGATTCCCTCCCAGCTCACACTCTCCTCATCTGGTCTCCATAACTTTGCGCAAGGACCATGATTTTCCTGTCCTATTCAATTGTGAGCCCCCTCAAGGGGTTGGTTAGTACAGGGGTGGGACAAAGAACACAGGATATGGAGCAAGACAGACAAGGAGTCACACCCCCTAGTTTTGTCCATGCTGCCCTGTGTGGCCATGGATAAGGCAGCCTGTTCATAAAAATGCACCTGCAGATAGTGCAGGGCCTTGATGCATGTCGTGCCACGGAGTGGGTGCTACATGCATCACTATAGAAAGGGTGCAACTCATGGTAGCTATTATTGGGAGTAAGAGCATGTGTCTTGATAAGTGGCGAAGTCCACATAAAAATCTAGTTCGCACTGCTCAGAGTGGGAGGGTGGAGCCAGTGAGAACCCAATATCCTTGCTCTGGCTAGCTCCCTCCCTGCAGGGTTGCTAGCACCTCAGCTCTTGCCAAGGAACTGTCATCACTCTATGTGTGCTCCTGGGGGTAGCTTGGTTGGGGCTGATGCTGGCCCAGAACGAAGGGGGCCAGCAGGGCACAGGGAATGGCCTCTGTCCAGAGCAGAGCCAGGTAGGGAGAAGGGGCAGTTGGTCCCCAGGTGGTTGGAAGGTCCTCCATGAGGCAGGGTCATAACTTCACCACCACTCCAGGCCAGAGAAGAGTGGGTAAGGGGAACAGGGGCAGGTCATGGAGGCTGGCCCCCAAATAGGACTAAAGCCGCACTTGCTGGGCAGTATTTGTTACTTCACTCCATGCTCCAAACAGCTCAGGGAAAGAAGAGATCATTATAATCTCCATTTTATAGATGGGGAAACTGAGTGCAGAGACATCAATGGACTTACCAAGCCCACGTGTTAAGAATGCCACTAGGGTTTGAATTTAGGCCAAAGCTGTCTCTAAGCACCCCTTAAAATATTGCCCTCATCAATGACTAAAATTCCACCATAAACAATTTCTTTCCTTTGATGAAATAACGGTATGTCTTTGAGTTAAAACCTTTTACAACTATTCCCTGCAGCCAGTAGGAGATGATTTGGCCACAGCCTATTTTTGAACCTCATTGCCTCCCATCTCATTTGGTTTTGTTGTTGAAGTATATCTTTTCCCCTTTTCTCTGCCCAGGGAACTCCTGCTTAGCCTTCAAAGCCCCAGCCCCAGCACCCCTTCGTCTCTGAGACCCAAAATCCTCCCCACCCCTTGACAATGACAGCTTTTCAAACAGCTCTCCATCTTGTAATTTATGCCTCTGGGCATTCCTCAAGCAGGTGGCTGGGGACTGACTCATCTCCAAGTCCCTAGCATTGCTCAGCATAGGTCCCAGTAGAGATGAAGAGATAAAAGATTGCTGGGGCAGGAGAGGAGAGGAGCGAAGGGGTCAAATAGGGCTGGGTTCAAGGAGCTGTGCCCAGGGTTTCCCTGGAGGGCCTTCTTGTGCCCTCAGGCTGGCTCTTACCCGCATCGCTGGCACACGGGTAATGGTAGGTGTGGATGCATCCTTTGTGGCAGCACCCGATGGTGGCCCCAGCTTCTTGGCAGCTGGAACAAGTCTGGTGAGGAGAGAGGGAAGACAGGTGAGTCTGCCGCTGAGGGGCCGGGCAGGTGGGCTTTACAGACAGGGCTCCCCCTAGTCCCCACCTCCTTCCGATGAAAATCAGTTGAAGGAGGCTCAGAATGGGGTGCAAATGCCTACAGGATTGATTCTATGGCAACCCCCGGGCTGCTGCCTTGGTGCGGGGTGGGGGGGGGACCGTTTTGTGGAAGGGGGTGTAATGACTACTCGTGGATAAATATATGGGCCTTGGCTTCACAAAGACCTGAGTTCAAATCCTCAGCCGACCCACTCAAACTCTCTGTGCCTCAGCTGCACAATGGGATGATGCTTCCCTTACATGGTGGTCATGAATATTAAATGAGACTTCGTGTACCCAGTGGATGACAAGAACTCCTGGTGCCAGTCACCATTATGATCATGGCTACCAGCCAGTGTTGGCAGGGCTTCTGCATGCAGAATGTGTCCTCACCTCCTGACTCCTCCCAATAGCCCTTAGAGGCAGGTAACTTTCATAAGCCCCACTTCACAGACAGTGAAACTGAGGCACTCCCCCAGGAGAGAGTGAAGTAAGCATTGTTTCCTACCCTTTCTGGCAGCAGAACAAACACTGAGCCCAGAATCTGATAAGCCACTCGAGAACGGGCCATTCACCCTCCCTAGGACCAGTGAGATGACATAGCCATCTTGAGAGTGGAGTCCAAGGCTCATCTTGAGATGCTGAGTTAATGTAAATCTTATGCCATCCAGCATGGTGGCCAGCCCACTCTGGGTCTCAAAAATGTGGCCTGCTGAGGTTGGGGGCTGTCCCATGCTTGCCCGGGCTGCCTGGAGGGGAATATGGCCAGGACCAGGTAACAAGGCCAGGAAGGCCCTTGGAAGAGTGAAGCAAAATCTGAGGTCTGGGGAGGGACAGGTCGGGCCTCAAATCATACAGACACCAGACCATAGCCCTCACTGTACGGATTGGGGAGTGAGGTGCAGGAGGGAAGCAGAGAGGGTGGCAGGCCCATACCCAGATGCTAAGCCACTGAAACAACTATAGTTTATGATGTGCCGCCATGCTTGGAAGCTGCCTCCTCATAACAACCTTCTGACATTGGTATTATTTTAACCGGGTTTCCAATGAGAGCTCAGAGAGGCTAAATAACTTGAGGGCACACAGCTCATGAGTCTCTGGGCTGGGCTTTGAGTCCAGAATCCCAGCTGGAGCACAGCCTGGCAGATACTACTGTATACTGCTTAGAGCAGGCGTGGGCTCCATTCTAGGCCCCAGGACTGCGGGAGACCCCACCCCCAGCAGCTGACACGGGCCAGGGATGAATAGGTCTTCTGCCTGCCTTCTTAGGCCTAGCCTGAGAAATTCTGGGAATCTTCCTTCTGTCACCAAGCTGGGAATGGGGAGGTGAACGGTGGGACGCTGGGGTATATTCTGGAACACCAGGTTTTCACACAATGCCTCTGGACAGGCAATTGCCTCTTGTCAGGGCTGAGACTCCCTGGGGCTCTGGGGCCCAATATCCCAATTTTTGGCCCAAAAAGGGGA